CATCTACAAGCACCAAGTCAGTTATCATTTATGTACATATGTGGTCAATTATCTTATTATCTAAAATAATATATAATAATAAATTTATATACAAGTAGTCAATTAATATGTATTTTATATTTGTGCTACATGTTTCAAAGTGAATGATTTAGGGTTAGTATTATAATTTAGAATCATATATTCTAGTGATTTGGATTGTGAACCCACTCCGTTTGGGATAAATGTAATCAAATCATGGGTCGTTAGGAGTAAAGGGAATTTTGATGACTATGGACACTTTAAACTAGGGTTAGTTTTCCATAAGTATCCCTTTTAATTGCGATGAAATGAAGGTGTTTCTCTCCTTAATTGTTTTTGTTTGTTGGTGGTATTCATGACTAACGAACTCATCACCTAAGATGGTGAAAATTGTTATAAAAAATGGTAGTAGTTTTTATAAGCTGCATTTTGCAATATGTGTAATGTATTGAAGAGCATAATAATTTAGTGGATGTGGGATAACAAATGCTTTTTCCGAAATCATCCACCTTTCACCATGTATTGGAGGTAGGAATTTTAAGGGAAAAAAGTTTTTATATGTGGAAGTGGGTCTGTTGATAATTTAAACAAGATATTATATAGCTGGATTGAATTTTTGTCCATGTTGTAGTATCTTATTATTGCAAGTCATGTAAGAAAAAGTCATGTGAGCAGGCATGTGACCATTTAAATGATCATGTGCAAGTCATGTGACTTTTTCTTATGTGGAGTGAAATGGTAAGGTCTTCACATTGCAAATGTGTGTCATAATCTTCGTCCTTATTGAGGATCCAGTTAGACAGTTGATTTACTCTTGGCACCTTTTTTATATTTTGAATATCTTATCTGTTAAAACACAAACAAAGGACAAGGTTAATTGTTACAATTGTTTGGTTGTTTCCATGGCAATTTCAAACTGTTCATTAAGTGATAGCAACGTGAAAAGTCATAGAAGCAACAAAAATGGCATGAGTGATATGGTCGTCCGTCAGTTTGATGCTTTTCTTTTCTCAAATCACTTATTTTCCTTCCAAATTTTCATTGTTGAACACCTGAAAGTTGCAAATGATAGCTGTCAATAAATTTTGCCTTTTTTTTCCTGCCCGCACATAGTTCCTAAATTTTCTTCCCTCAGAAACCATGATTTCCAAATCCAGGATTTTAAGGACAATGGTTTTTGTAATCAAAATTATGCAAATAGAATCATGTTTGACTTTATTGTAATTGTCATAGACTTATAGTGATGGGTTTGCAAAACATGATTTTAATTATGACTTCAAAATGAGATCCTAGTATAAAATTTTTGATTGAAGAAAGTACTGTAGTTGACTTTACGAAGTGTGGAGATTTAAAAGTAACTTTGATCATAAAAAAGTTTAAAAAGGCACGGATTTGGTTTTTATGTTCTTTCTCTTATTTGTAAAGGATTACTTCTCATCTGGTAAGTGTGAATCAAGTCTTTAATTTGTTTTTTTCAATATAATACGGAATTTGAGCTAATTTCTGGTATATGACAAGGTAAAACTGCTGTAAATATGTCTTTCTTGGCACTCACTGTCCCAGTTTCATGATCACTATTATTGTTTTCAAGCTAAAATAAAGTGCCCATAAAAAGTTGGCATTCTTAAACTAATTCAGGTTGTTTTCCTTTATAAATGTGGGGATTTACATGTGGCGACGGCCATTGGAGCCACCTCAGCATGCTGCAAAATCATTAGTCTTCATGTCATATAATTGTTGTGGATTCTGTTTGCATATGCAATTTGTGCATGGGTATAGGATTTGGTAATAAGTTGTGAAAAGGATTTTTAGCTTGTATCCTCTATCAGACAGTACTTTCCCTGTTGTAGTTGGTGTTGGGTCCTTGGACCTTTGTTAGTTTGGCTGGCACTCCATTATGCCAAGCTTCGCTTGGGTCTATGATCTTTCATTAGCTAACTCTGCATAATTCACTCATGCATTGCATCACCTTTGCACTCGTTTCACAAAATGTTGATAATAGCTTATAATTTTTGTTTTATGTATGTTTTATTTGGAAGTTACTTAAGGTTGCAGGTGATATCCAATATATACAGGGATGTAGGGAAATGGGAATCACAAAACAGCTGATAAATTGTTAATTTTTGCATATCTTCAAGTTGAAGTTGCTACAAACTGATTACTGATGTCTTGAAGCTTTTTGCTGCATGAAAATCTTTAATTCTTAAAGTACCCCAAGAAGACTGATAAAGTGTCTTTGGCAAGTGTTTTGATTATATATCTTAAGTATGAAAACTGTTCATGCTGTTTAGTGTTTTGGGCAATTTGGGTGGGGGAGGTTTCGAGTCTGGGTTTTGGGTACTGGAAATTAGTAGCATTGATTATCCACCGAACCATAGTGGATTTATAGGTCAAGGCTGAAACTTCTGCTGTCCATAAGAAATGGATTGCCCATGATGATTGGATGAGAAACTTGCTGAATGTTTAACATGGAGCCACTGATTTGGGAATGGGATTTTGATTTTCAGGGAGCCAATTTCTGCAGTGGATGAAGAAGGAAATGGTTGGGTTTGTTCTCCTCTATCCATGTATATCTCTTGTTTGTGGGCACTACCAATTGGGTGGATTGGTAGCATATAGATTTATTGATAATAAGGTGGGAATAGTAGTTATGATAGTAACTATGAAGGGCATGTTTGGTTAAGGTGTATAAGTGGGAAAAGAGGGTTGGCTTGATTGAAATTAGTTGGAAGACCCTGTAATCCTTAATTGGCCAGACTTTTTTTTGAGTCCTGTACAAGAGAGGGATTTATTGTTGGCCCGACATGGACAGGGGCTACAACCTCAGGGGCTTGTTTGTTTAATGGATTTGGGAGGATTTATAAAAGTGGGTTTGGTTAAAGCTTTTAAACTCGGGATTAAGATCCTGGCCCGTTATCGGGCCAGAAGGCTAAATCCACGAATATGGGTATGGGTTTCAATAAACTCTTGTAGCATGTTTGGATGGTTTTTCAAGGGGGGATTCAATTTGTTTTAGTAAACCTTTCTCGAACTCAACCTCTTTTTTTGTACATGATATTAGTAAACAAATTTTATTCATACCTTTGTAGCATAAAAATATGTGGGATCACAGATTAATAATTATAACTAAAAATTATCATATAATTGATTAAATTGTCCATTGTTTAATCTAATTTATGTCCATGTTTCTTTGTTTAACTTCAAAGAGGGGAAGGAATTGTTGGGTTTGGATTTGTTTGGATAGATATAATGATTTATTAGGGATATAATTGTCAATTTACCTATTTATCATGAGTAGATATGAAACGCACTCCACCCATGGGTTTGGTGAAACTCATAGATGTGGGTGTTGCTGACATTAGTTAAAACTGGATTTGAATTTAGGTCTTCAATTTGTAAACAAATATGGGTATGACCGGTCCATTGAATCATTTTGGTTGAACTCTTTTTAACAAACCCCCAAACCCAATAAACAAATAGGCCCTGGCGGTGGCTATATATAACAAATGTTTGGTTATAATTATAATTAATTCATGTATTCTATGTGTATTTATGTTATTATTCATCAAACAAAGAATTAGATACGATTTATATATAAATTAGTTTACTTAAAAAGCAATCTGGTCCTACCATTTTAAAACCCCAAGTATATTGGATTTAACTACGCTCATAAAAATTGGAGAAAAAAGGTCATCAAATATGTCCCAATAGTATTAATGTTTTTGAAAAATTGATGCATTTTTTTAAAAACATGTTGTTTTCACCGTATAATCGAAATTGGGTGGGTCCCATGTTTAAGCCAAATAAGGTTTTTTAATCATGGATTAAAAATCATTAATAAAAATCTTCATTCTCGACCCACTGGTTTAGATTTGATTGACTAATTAAATTAAATCCAATTTTCACCTCAAAATTAATCTAAATTAGTACAAGAACAATGACATTAATACATCTAATAACAATATAATTAAGTATAGATGAAATTATTTAACCCAAATAATGTGACACACGAGCATGGTTATTTCAAAAATCTCTTGACTATTAAATTTAATATAAAAAGTTGATGACAGAGTAGTGTAAGTTACGATTATAACCTTTATCTTTCCCTCAACTACCCCAATCTTGACCACTTACCTTGATATGATCCTCAGAATAGTTTCCGAGAGAAAGAAAAGACAGAGAGAGAGAGGGTTGGGGAAAAGGGATATGGAGCTGGGGGAAGCTAGAGGTGTGGGTGGTTTGGCAAGGAAAAGCAAACTATTGATGATTTTGGTGTGTTACATCTTTGCCAATTCCACCCATACCACTGGTTTCCCAAAGTTCATCCCTTTTCTTTCCCACCCTTCAAAGCAATCAAACCCATCATGAAAGAGAGAGTGTAAATATATATGTGTTTGTCTATATATCTATATATATATATGTAGAGAGAGAGAGAGAGAGAGAGAAGGGGGGAGAGAGAAAGGGTGACAGATCTACAGGAAGTTTTTGGGGTGGGGTGATTGGGGAGGAAACCCTTTGGGGGACTGATGGAGAAATCCTTCCCTATTCCACCCATCCCCATGATTTCCTGCGGTTCCTCCCCTTCCCTTGCTGTCTCCTGCTTAGATCTGGAAGGTATGATAGTCTTCTTTCTATGCTTAACTGTAATTTATGGTTCATTCTTGTTATATTATTGTTGAGGATTAAGCTACTCCTATGTTGTAAAAGGGAATTAAGGAAGACTCTTTTTTCTTTATCTTTACTAATACATATGATTTTTCGGGCATCAATCTCCTCTTTTATTTGGTACGAGGTTGACTGCAGGATTGAAATTTATTTTTAGCCTTGAGGATTTTAATAAGGGTTGGAGAAGGGGTTAGTTTTATTTGTAAATCTTGAATACATTCAAGTAGAGTGAACAAAATATATTTAAAAGAAGGAGATCTGGTACCATAGTATATTTCTCATATTTCTGTACTTCTAAACGGTCCTGTTTTCTTGATTGTTTGCCCAAATCTAATTTGGATCGGATTCCAATTGATCCTAATCCGACGACTTATTGGATTTGGATTCAGATTAAAATTCAGAGTTTAGAGTTATCCAACCTTGGTGCTTAAATAAATGAAAAGGAAGAATAGATAAATGCTGGGGGCCTATATGAGAATAAAGGTATTTGGTTTCTCTCTCTAACTCAATCAATATGAACCATAGCGTGGAATCCAATAGGATTAGGAGTAGGAGTAGGTGAACGGTCGATGAAGCAACAAAAAATAGCTCGTAGTTGTTACTAATACCATCTCTCACTTGGAATGAGTTTTTGCAATTGGTGAAAAATTTAAAATTGTCTCAAAAATAATTAAGAAGATGAAGGATAATGTTGTTGGAAATTTAATTTGCAATAAATTAATATAAACCATTATGGTTTAGTAAAATCCATTGTGCCAATGTTTATTCCTGAGAATGAATTTGATTAGTTCTGTGAATCTTGTTGCCTAAACAGTAATCTCCGTTTGAAGTAATGTGCTTGCAAAGATTCAAGATTTTTCATGTACTTGTGCTGATTTTACGAAACATGGGCATGCTTGCAAACACTGAACAGTGTCGTCATTAGTTTACATGTTGCTTCAAGTGGGTAGCAATTAACAAGTATTACGGCACGGGATTAAGCCGTGGCCTCTTTGTAACGTGACGGCAGGGGTTGTATGTATTATGCGCCTACAATAGAGGTGTTAAATGTGTCGGATTAAACGGGTGATGAGTGAAAAACATGTAAACTCATACACGATCTATGTAATAAACGAGTGAAAAATTTTAACAAGAACACGAACCATTTAATAAACGGGTAGACTTGTTTAATCCGCGTAGTTTTAATTTATTATTAGTTTATTATTATATTTCTATGGTTGTCACTAAATTAAAAAAAAAAAAATTGTGACTATCACTAAAAATAATAATAAATATATATTTTGTTGTTGTCACTAAAAAATATTTGCCTAATTTTTAAAGTAATTATTAATTTATTATTATATTAATTTTATTTAACCGGATAAATGGTGATAAATGGATTGACGTGATTCATTCAAATACAATTCATTTATTAAAC